TTCTACGCTGCAAAATAACAGCGGATTGTGTACACTTACTGTAATCCAATCGATTAAAAATGCAAATGCCAGCCACACTAACATACATGTAATTTAAATTTAAATAAAAAGAGTTTTGTTGCTTTTGTATTTGTTTTTGAACATATTCATTAGAATCATTATGTACCGATGCATTAAAAGTACATGCATACTTAACAAAATTTACGCCTCGTGGGTGGGCGGCATGGGAACTGGAAAGCAAGTTCAGCTCCAGTTTCTTCAGCTACTCTTATGTGTTTTTTGCGGGGCCGCACACAGATACCCACACTGTAGTAGTGTACCTACCGAGTTGCGCCCCAGTGGTGCGGGATTGCACACTTTCAGGGTTTGCAGGGATTGCGGGATTGCATACACTTTTAGGGCTTGCTTGCAGGGATTGCGGGATGGCGGGCCGCAGGAACCACTGCGCTCTGCGGGCGAGGGGAGTGGGCCAAACACTTCAACTCCGGAGCGCGTTTACAGAAACTCCCGAGTGTGCTGCTCTGCCGGTGGTCCGTTTGGTCCGTCCGTCTGTCCGCCCTGTGCATTGTGCGGAGGCGTCCTCCCCAGTCTGCAAGTCGATTTGCAAGTCGAAGTGAAGTGGGCCGGCTGGGCCGCCAATAGCGCAGCGCCGCGCCTCGCCAATATAATACCGATTGGGCGCGAGGAGCAGGCGCGACCCGGGCTCTTTGTTTGTTGTATAGGAGTGCAGCGCACTGGAAAAAAAGAAAAAAAGGCAAAAAAAAACATTTAAAATAAAAAGGGGAAGCGATCCGAGTCGGGACGGCAAATATTTTCAGAAGTTGTATATTGTGTGTTATTAAATACAGACAATTTTTGACGGTGTGTGTGGGACATCGCAGACGTTTCAACTCGAGTGGCTATTAATTATCACCGCCGAAAGCAGATTTTCGTGCAGCGCATGCGTGTTCCCGCGACGCTCTATTCAATGGGGAGAGTCACCGTGCTGAGTTTGCGCTTTGGCGAGCTGACGCTGCTGGCCACACGGGGGTGTAGCGCACCACACCGCCGCACCTATCTGACCGAGCGAACACACCTCGCGCATTGCCATATCGCGAGCTTTCACACAGGTGTGTTCATGCTTGATTTTTTTTTTATCCTGGCTCCCTGGCTATCAGTTTAAAAAGAAACGAAAAAAAATAATCTGATTTTCCTTTTCCTTTTCTGCTTGTTTGCCCCCGGCGCTGTATCTCTGTAATCCGCGTGAGCAGGAACAAATCGCTCGACGCTAATCTGCGGGGAAGGCCAGCAGTCAGCTGTCGAGTAGCAGGCCTCACGCATTTAAAAAATATTTAAGAAAAGAATATCTTACAATGTGAACGTTTTTAAAATGATATTTTAAACGGTGTAGCTGCGGGCCAAATGCTCGCATTATATTCTGAAGCAGGACCGTGGAGGAAATCATTGCTATCGACGGCGCTTTTGGATGTGCCGTACGTGAGTTGCCCGGCCCTGGTGCATATTCACGTACTGCTTGAAGCTGATCTGGTTGTGAACGCGCGGCTGCCAACCCGCTGGGCCCAGGCGCTTCCCACCTCACAGGGGCTTAATGACGGTTGTTTAACTGGACCGAACGTGGACCGGAGCCAGTTGCGGCACACACACACACACACACACACACACACACACACACACAGACTGTAACGGTGCGAAAGTAAAGGAGAGGGAAACGCTTGCTTTGCACCTCGAAACATTTCTACTCTTTTTGACCCATTATCTTTCTTTTTCATTTTTTCTTGCAGCTCCCCCACCGTTGCCAGTATTTACTCGTTACATTTCTCTCTCCCCCTCTCTCCCTCTCTCCCTCTCTCCCTCTCTCTCACACCATGAACACAAACACAGATTTCAAAATTCGACAAAACCGCGTTAGTTATGAAGGTCTGCTTATTCTAAATTGTGTATATCACTCACTGACGGAAAAATGTTTACTCTACGGTTTTCAATATTAGTGTTTTTGTTGTGTCCGCTCCAAGTCGCGCCAGTTGCTTCGACTGTTGAAGTGATTCCAGCAGAGGCGGGCAGTGTGTGTGTGTGTGTGCGTGTGTGTGCGCGTGTGTGCGCTGGGAACGAGTGGGATTGTGGTCCTCGCCCTACTTGAGACTCACTCCTCTCACACACGCACACACACACACACACTTGCCAGCCGGGGCCTGAATTCGCAAACGCCTCAAGTTGCCTCGCCCCGTCTGCACGACAAGCTTCCGAAATTGGGCGTGACTACCCCCTCCTCCCTCCTCCCCACCTCGTCCCCCTCCTTGCGTCTCGCGATCTCACATACTGTACTCTCCTGCCTCACGGTGCACTTCAGAACTCCAGAAAGGGATGGACCGCGGAAACGGCTCGAAATCAAGCGCAGCACAGAGTATGCTGATGCTACACTGTGAGAAATTGTTCGGCTGTAGTCATCCAATTTGGGATAACACGATCCGTGAAGGTTACCCACAGGCACACGCATAGCGAAGTTTTAGTGGTTGCAACCGAAAGTACACGGCAGTTCCCGTTACTAAAATGTTGATGCCAATGACTGACTCGAGCGAATCGAAACGATTTTTGGCGCTGCAACGACAAATCTCTTTTAGTGTGGTATGTCAGTTATTGTCGTCAGCCCCTCCCCTCACGCTGCCTCTTTTAGGCGACAAAACTCCTGATAAATTCAACTTGTGCCTCACCCTCCTCTCTCCGCGTCAAGTCTAGAGCCACATTTTAAACACAATAGGCCGTGGAGGAAAACGTTTTATATAGTCCTTTGTGGCGGTCTGATCTGGCATTTAGGCCCTTCCCCTCCGACCCGGGCACGCGTCCGCCGCGGCGGGACCCACAGCGCAGCCAGCAGGACCACATGGCGACAAATGAAATCCCGTTTTTAACCGTCGAGGCGATCCCTGTGTGGCCCCACCGCTCCGCACAGCTCCGCGCAGCCGGGTTTGGAACGGTTCCGAAATTAAACGAAAAACGAACGGTTTTGGGCTCTGTTTGCGTTTAATGGTTTGATTGTTTTTTGACCGCGAAACCCGTCCCGACTCGCCCTGAAGTAAATTGACGTGGAAATTGAAATTGTTTTGCAGGTCTCCAGGACCATGGTGCCGCCCGCCCCCACACTGTCGCTGCTGTTGCTGTTGTTGCTGCATCCTTCCCGAGGACACGAGAATGAGCCGCCCACCATCGAGTTGCATGGTGAGTACCAAAAAGTTCCAGTCGAGTGCCTATAGGCACCAACTCCGACAGGTTTCGCTGTGGCCCCCCGGGGCCCGGGGGCCATGGACCGGCCAGGTGAAGGGTGAAGGGCCGGAGACTGTCAGGCCTTGGGCCGGGACGATGTTTAGGGTTTTGGACTGACAGCGCTGGCGCATCCAGCGAGAGACAGAGAGAGAGAGAGAAGAGAGAGAGAGAGAGAGAGAGAGATGCTCCTCACATGGAATCTCATCACCTCGGCGTATTGCAGCACGAGACTGCAGCGATGGATCATCCAGAAAGTACATACGTCCGCTTTTCTAACATTCTTCCGGCAAATTAGCGGAAGCTCGGCGCCTGCGATATTTGGGGTAGGCCACCCCGCAGTACACGCATGCGCTGCAGGCAAGATGTTGCCTACCTATCAGGGGCCATACGAGACCTTACATCGGCTGGACTGAACTGAACTGGACTGAATTTTAAGATTTACTCCCGGACCAGTTTTGATTACCTGTTCGCTCGGTTTTCAATCTCCCAGTGTTATTGTCCGTTGGTACCACCGGCTGACGTGCCGAAGATTGGGCTTTCATCTTAAATGTAGCAGGGGAAGTGTTTTCTTTTTTCTTTTCTTTTTCAATATAATGATGAATTTAGAACGAGCAGCGGCAAGAGAGGGGGGTAGTCCCCCACTGGCGACTGGCTCAATCGGCGAGGAATAAATACTTCCCCCCCCC